GTCCTGGGCATAAGTTACAGACAGGTTAAGGTCCCATGCACACCTGGAATCTGACACACCTGTGTTAAATTCCAGCTCTACCACCTCTTAGCTGTGCTGCTTTTGGCAAGTTACTAAGCTTCTCTGAATCTTGGTTATAGCATTTTTTTATGACTAATCTTATTTATTTGTTACTCTTATAAAATCTCCTTTTTTAAATTTTATTTCATTATTAGTTTCAAGTATACAGTACATTGGTTAGACATTTATATAGTTTATAAATGATCTCCCTGATTACTCTTTCTCTCCTCTGGCTCTCCACCTAGCCATTACATTAATGCTGACTGCATTCCCTGTGCTGTGCTCCCTCCCCATCCCATGACCATCTATCAACTGCTAATTTGTACTTCTTTAGCCCTTCACCCCCAACTCTCCCAGCCCCCGAACTCCCCTCCCCTCTGACCGTCACCAGATTGTCCTCTGTATACGTGAGTCTGTTTTTGATTCATTTGTTCTTTTTGTTCCTTAGATTCCGCATATAAGTGAAATCATATGGTATTTATCTTTCTCTGTCTGACTTATTTCACTCAGCATAATAACCTCTAGGTCCATCCTTGTCATTGCAAATGGTAGGATTTCATTTTTTTAATGGCCGAGTCATATTCCCTTGTATATATGAACCATAACTTCTTTATCCAGTCGTCTGTTTGATGGGCTTTTAGGCTGCTTCCATATCTTGGCTATTGTAAATTGTGCTGCCATGAACATAGGGGTGCATAGATCTTTACAAATTATTCTTTCGGTTTTCTTTGGAGAAATACCCAGAAGTGCAATTCCTCGGTCAAAAGGTATATCCATTTTTAATTTTTTGAGAAACCTCCAGACTGTTTTCCATAGTGGCTGTACCGATTTTGCAATCCCACCAACAGTGTACGAGAGTTCCCTTTTCTCCACATCCTGGCCAGCACTTGTTCTTATAGTTTATAAATGATCTCCCTGATTACTCTTTCTCTCCTCTGGCTCTCCACCTAGCCATTACATTAATGCTGACTGCATTCCCTGTGCTGTGCTCCCTCCCCATCCCCATGACCATCTATCAACTGCTAATTTGTACTTCTTTAGCCCTTCACCCCCAACTCTCCCAGCCCCCGAACTCCCCTCCCCTCTGACCGTCACCAGATTGTCCTCTGTATACGTGAGTCTGTTTTTGATTCATTTGTTCTTTTTGTTCCTTAGATTCCGCATATAAGTGAAATCATATGGTATTTATCTTTCTCTGTCTGACTTATTTCACTCAGCATAATAACCTCTAGGTCCATCCTTGTCATTGCAAATAGTAGGATTTCATTTTTTTAATGGTTGAGTAATATTCCATTGTATATATGAACCATAATTTCTTTATCCAATTTTCTGTTGATGGGCCTTCAGATTGCTTCTATATCTTGGCTGGCATGAATATTGCAGTGCATAGATCTTTACAAATTATTGTTTTGGTTTTCTTTGGATAAATACCTAGAAGTGCAATTGCTGGGTCAAAAGGTATATCCATTTTTAATTTTTTGAGAAACCTCTAGACTGTTTTCCATAGTGGCTGTACCACAAAATCTCATTTCTGACTGGACTCAGACTTAGAGGTAGAAGCTCTCAGAGAGGACAGCCTACATCTCCTGGACATCTGTTCCTGGAATTTTTCTATGGCCTCCTTCATTCTCTTAGCCAAAAGTTTAGCATGTTCTGGAGCCTCTTCCTTTTTTTTTTTTTTTTCGTAGACTGTTTCTTCAGAACAGCATGCCAACTCTTGTGTTGCAGGACGTGTGGAGTAACCAGACACTGAATCTTGGGTGCTTTCGTCCTAGCTTTCCTACCTTCTTTGTTTAGAGGCTTCCTCCCAACAGATTGGCAAACAACATCTTCTTTAGAGACTGACAAACAAGTTTGAGGATTCCGCCAGCTCCAGGCAACAAGGCATAGTATTATCAGTGAGACCAGGAACACCAGTCTCTCCTTTTTTCACAATGACCAAGTTGAGAACACTCAGATCAGCATCCACCACGCGACCCAAGGAGTTCGCTCTGCTTTCTCCAGTCCCCCACGGTCTGTAACAGGAGTGCCCCTCGCTCAGCAGCAGCAGGCGGACACGGCCCTGGGTCAAGACACCGTGCTTCATGGGGAAACCTTGTTTGTTGTCCCCGCCACAGAGTCGAACCACACAACTCTCCCATTCTTCACCCAGAGCATCAGCAGCAACTGCTGTAGCCATACGCTTCTCATAAAAGTTTGCGTTCACACCCGCTTCAGTGAGTCTCTGGCAGACGGTGGCTGGGAATGAGGCATTCGGCTCCGTCCTGAAGGAGTCGACCACCTCCGAGGCGCCACGAAAAGAGTTGGTTATCTCATCTTTAAAACAGGGATGATACCAGCTCTATCTGCTTGTTATGAACCACAAAAATAAATGCAATGCCAAAGTGTTTCATAGAGAGCCAAGCGTGCAATAAGCAAGCAGCAGTTTAGCCGACTTTAACCTCTTCCTCTAACAAGCATTTTAATCTACGCGCATGCCCAGCAAAAATCTAGAGGAGGCAGTGACTAGTTCTGACTGGGGAACTCACACAGGGCGACCAACAGAAGGCGTTTAAACCAGGTCTTAGAAGATTCTAAGCGTTTGCAGGTGGATGTGTAAATTTCTATCAAAATGAAAGCCGGGTGTTTTTAAAGCAGTTCATTCATTCTCAGGAGTAATACATTTCTTCTGTTTTTAAGGAATATGGAAATGATAATTGAGGTGGCCAGGAAATGTGGAAAAACCTACATTAGCTTCATTCATTCTGTCCATCGGTTCCCCGTCACTGTTTTAGCTTCAGAATATCGTTTGCCCAGGGCTCCGCTGAGTCTGCTATTCCAGAACATTCCAAGGGACAGTGCAGATCCTCCGGCCTGACCCTGGTGGACCACCAACGAACACATCAGCAGAGTGACTGATGAAAACACTCGGTGGCAGCTCTCTGCATGGAACCAAGCACTTCATGGCAGGCTCATTTTGTCCTCACAGCTCCTCCATGAGGTTACTGGGATTATCCCCCCTCACAGAGGAGGAGACAGAAACACTGAGAAGTCACTCGTCCAAGGTCACACAGTTAGAACCCAGATCTTCTTCACTCCAGAGTTCATGCTCTTACTCTCGTGTGATGCTGACAACATGTATGGTTGGGCAGAGCCCGTGTAGAGTTTAAGCCCAGGGCCCTGGCACTGGACAGCCAGGCTTCACATCCTAATTTTGCCGTGCACTAGCCATTGACCTCAGGAAAGATCTTTCTGGTTTGGTTTGGTTTGGTTTGGTTTGGGGGCAGAGTTTTTTTTTTTATTTTGTTGTTGTTTTGTTTTGTTTTGTTTGTTTTTGCACAGGAATACTATTTATTTTTTCCTTGGCAAAAAATCAAATGCTACATTTTTAAAAACAAAAACCATACTTAAGATCTATTTTTTAAATATACAAGTAGGTTTAAAATGAGAGAAGTTCTGTGAGATCTAAGAAACCTACAGCCTGTAGTTTAATGATCGAAAAAAGTTAAGACAGTTAAAAGTTCTGTAACATCCAGTATTCTCTCGATTTCCTCATCTGTAAAATGGGAATAATAATATCATCGACCTCACAGGTTTGATGTGAGGGCTGAAAATGTAGATCCAAGAAGCTCTTAGAACAGTGTCCGGCACAAAGTAAATATCCTTTTTAGTTTTGGATGTGGCCGATGTTGACACTATTATTATTAAATGGGTGCTTCACCCCAGGGGCTGTTACGAGAAAGCCCAGACCCAATGCTGCCTACAAATCCTTAACGGGCACCTCTCCCTGGCGTCGTTCTGCAGTCCGGAATCTGGCTTGTCTACTTCTCAGGGTAAAACCTGAAATGGATTGGTGCACACAAAGGTGCTTGGGTCTGCTCACGTGACCCAAATTCACAGGGGATCGAAATGAGACCAGAGAGCCTGCACATGAGTAATCTGACTTACTTTAGATTCATCCTAAAGCTATCCTCATAGGTAACCTTTGTCTCAAAATGTGGGAAGTGTCATCTAACCATGTGAATCTGGGAAGCGGCTCAACATGGGGGTTCAAAATCGGAGCTCTGGGGTCATACTGTGGCCTGGGCACAAATCCTGACCCAGCCACCTTAGCAGCTGTGTGGTTTGTGCCTCAGTCTTCTTATCTGTAAGTGGGGATATTATACCTACTGTGTTAATTTCCTATTGCCACTATAACAAATTACTATAAACTTGGTAGCTAGACATTTATTCTGCCCCAGTTCTGGGAGCCAGAAGTCCAAAACTCACACAGCAGAGAAAGCCATGTGACCATGGAGCAGATATTGGAGCGATGCAGCCACCACACGCTGCAAGAGACAAGGAAGGGGCTCTCCTCTAGGGCTTCCAAGGGAGTGTGGCCAAGCCGACACCTTGATTTGGGCCCAGCGAGGTCATAACAGTGACCAGATATCCCTGCTCTCATGGAACTTACATTCTAGTGAATACCTCTGTTCGTACTGCCCTCTCTTCCTGACTCGTCTGTCCTCTCATTCTCCGACAACATGCCACCCATTACTTCTGTCTCAGTTCAGACACCGCGTCCTCTGTGAGGTCCCCAGGGTCACACTCCATCAGAGGTAATGACTTCTTCCTCCAAGCATCCATGTGCCCTACATGTACCTTCATGACAACACTTCTCCTACCTGGTCTTCACATGAGATACCTTCAAAGTGTAAAAGCAACTAAACTGGACTTGGACTCCGGAGAGGGGTTACAGACCAGATCTGCCTCTTTGAGCGATGGCTTGTAAAGGAGGCATGGGTACAAAATGCGTAGCGTAGAGCAGGCCCAGAGCTGATGGTCAGCCACGGATTTCTGAATGAACGACTATAATTATCATGTTGTTTTTGGATTTGTATTAAGAATTATCTGGCGTCTAGTATGGGTGCTTGTGCCAGCCGTGGAAATTTCTTGACGTTGTTTGGGGATCTCTTTTTCAGGTATTCTGTTTACAAGGACCCAGCAGGCTGGCTGAATATTAACCCCATCAACGGGACAGTTGATACCACGGCTGTGCTGGACCGTGAGTCCCCATTTGTCCACAACAGCGTGTACACCGCCCTCTTCCTGGCAATCGACAGTGGTGAGTAACTTTGTAAATGCCATCAAAGATATTTTCAGTTATAAATGTATTTTTACATTTCTTCTAATATGCCTAGAGGCGTTCTTGGAAAGAATGTAAGTATGTGGGAGAAGGGAAAGCTAATGCTTAAACACACAGTGGGTCAGGAATATCCCCAAGTCCTGGAATCCTCAGGTCTTTATCCAGTTAGAGGTCAGAGCAGTGAGGTCAGTGTGCTCCATCGCGGGCAGGCACCGGGTTTGGATGCCAGGCTGATATCTTTCATCATGGTGTCACACTCTTATCTGTAGCGAGGGGTTTTTTTTTACTTAATGCAAGTTGAAAGAAAGTCCCAGATGACATCACCAACCCTGACGATTGAATTGTTCCCACGGTTTTTATCCTATTATGGTATGTTAGCATGGAAGGACATAAGGTGCACTCAGCTGGTAGATTCATAATCACAAAACAATTACCGCTCATTCAGAAGTGAATAATGCAACATCCATGTGCCAGACTGCATTCTAGATGCTGGGGACGTAGCAGTGAACAAACAAAAATGACTGTCCTCGTGCAGCTGACATGATTGTGGTGATAGGAAGAAAATTGAGTAAAATACGTAACGCACTTTTTGAGAAAAAAAAAAGTATGCAATTTATGTATGAAACAGGGAAACAGGGAAAAGTGGTAACAGATGTCAGGGGATTACAATCTTAACTAGGCGGCCTTGGAGAGCCTCACTGAATAAGTGACATTTGGATGAAAATAGGAAGGAAATAAAACCTGGAGCAGAGTTAGTGGGTGGAACGTGAAGGGGATGAGGAGGCAGGTCGGCAGGGTCGTATGGGCCCCTACACCATCCGTGGCTTTTACTTCTTCGTGTGAAATGGGACATCACTGCTGAGTTCTGAGTAGAGTTCAAAGTGCTGTGATCATTCTGCTAATCAGACATTGGGACGAGGGCTGAACCAAAGAGACCTCCTAGGAGACTGATGATAATCTAGACAAGATGGTGTCTTGGACCAATAATAAGGCAGAGGATGAAAAGCGATCAGATTCTGGGGACATTCTGTATATTTCAGACACAAAGCTAACAGGATTTGCGATTGGCTCAGACGGTGTGGGGCTGGAGCGGGGCAGATCAGAGTTGGTTTGCAGTATGTTAAGCTGAGATGTCTATTGTGTCAATCACACAAGAAGTTTGGCTTTCCCTATAATTCCTAAAAGCCAGGTATTCAAAGCTGAAAATTCAATTTTGAGTCTTCTATATCAAAATCAATATTTTTAAGGCTCTTTATATGTGCACTTCACTATACTCAATAAAAGGTGAACTAAGAGTTCTCAGACCCCATCTCTATAGGCTGTGTACTCACACATGAGCCAAGTTGGAGAGCACGTGTCTAAGAAGTGAGCCATCAGTGTAACATGCAACAGGCAGAGAAGCCTTCAAAATAAAGTCAGCCTTTGAGTTTGGCCTTGAAAGACAGGTAGGGTTCGAAGAGTGGCAGAGCTGGAAGTGGAGATGCCTGAAGTCGTAAAGCAGAGGAAACAAAACCAGAAGGGAGTGTGGCACGCAGGGTGGCAGGCTGTGGATTTATGAAAACACGAACATTTCTATATTTTAATAGAAGCTTAACAAAAACAGTGACTACACAAGAGCATGGACATGGTCCCCTGTGCCTTCTCAGGGAGGGCTGTAACCGTTCGTGTACTCCCTAAGCACCATTTGCCCTAGAGATAGACTCTCGGCATCTTATCATTCTAAAGAAGGACAATCCCTGGCTGCTAATGGGCCAAGAAAAGGTAGGTGATGGGATGTTCAGGGAGAACAAAGCTAAGCATATACCCTACAGTCTCTATAATACTTTGCGAAAGGCAGAAGTGACGCCATCATAACTTGCTCCACACAGCTCTACTTACTTAGTGAGAACAGTGATAATGGCAGCTCCAAATGAGAATTTTCTTTCAGGTACCTCTTAGAGACTTGAAACTGTGAGATCGGAATGGTGAATATAAAAAGACAGTTGGAAATAGGGCTGGAAATCTGTTCTGAGGTTGAGAGAGGAAAAAAAAAAAAACCCTCTAGAGCTTGGGGCCCCAAAGCTAACCTAAATAGATTCTGGAATCATGCTTCATAATAATGTTGATAATGCCCAGGTTATAGATGATTTGGGGAGGAAATGACACTTTAGCCCCTTCCTGCAGATAGAGGCTAAGTTGTAACCCACAGAGTACTCAGGATGTACAAGCCATTTTTCCTAAACTGTTATCAATTTTAATGAGCTACAAATTACCTAACCTTGTTTCCTTGTAACCGAAATGCTTTGGTTTTACTAAAGCAGCACTGGCTAGAGTTAAATGGTTGGAAGGGCAAAGCCTTTAATCCTACAGATTAATAAGGCATGACCTTTAGTGTTGGCAAGTATTTTATTTTTAGAGATGAATATCGCCATTTACCTTATGTGGTCCAGATTTTCTGAAAAGGTTAAGTAAGATAGTGCCTTCGGAGTACAGGAACTCTTCTACTCTTCAATGAACACAGAATTGCTGGCCTATCTTTAAAAAGTGGGAGAAATAATAATTGTTAAGGAAAAACCAAGATGGAGAGAGAACATTCAGGGATGCAATAAGACGGAATTCCTCTGGGGATGTGCCGACAATGAGACAAAGCAGCAGCAATCAGCGCTGGACAGATCCCGGTGTGATTATCGAGCGTGCGCCGGTGCTCACCAGGAAGGTCCAGTGTTAGTCTCATTGTCTTATGTGGGCTGAAAACCGTCACAAGCAATTTCTCCCAAGAGTTCTGGAATCGCACCGGGACGGTCACGGGCAGGAAGGGAGAGCGGGCGGCTGCTTTCAGCCTTCCGCCTTCTGCTTGAGATTCCGTTAGACTCTTCTTCCTGCCCCTTCGCACCTATAACCTCATCTTTTACTCCTGTTCCAACATTGTATAGAGTTCAGCATTCCACGGTTATCACTGAATGGCTCTTATGCCCTCGGAGAAGGTCGAAATCGTGACTTCAAACACCAAAGACAAACATTTGGCTTCGGTTAAGTCCAAATGCCCTCGCTCCCAGCACCCGCACTATGCCGAGTTTAAAGAAAAAGGGGGAAAATATATCCCTTTTAGGTCTTCCTAAGACTCGGTGCATATGAGATGGTTTGAACCAGAAAGCTTATACTATCTCTAGAGTCCATATTAAGTCTTTATGTGATTATCAAAAGTGTCGCATTCTATTTTCATTTGAAAGAATAGGGGAATGATAGCATCAAAACAAGCCCAATTATCGCTAAATTCAGCAGCATGTTTTCATGACTTAGCAGTTGCATAGTTGTATAAAGTACGTTTGAGTCTATCAGTGAAGATGTGATGTGGGTTACCAAGAAGGCACAGATATAGAACCAAGCATAGCAGCGATAAAACTAAGGTGAAATAGAAGAAGATAATGATTTTTCATAGGCTGAGATCTATCATGTCCAAACCTGTCTTTTCCCTCAGCCCCTACATGATAGATGTTCTGATAACACCAGCTGCTTCAAAATTAAAATATTGTGTGAAGTACATTTGGATTGATTAAAAGACAAAGGTGTTATTCAACCCCATATAATGACTGCTCAACCGCTAAATAACAATGGCTCAAACTGGGAATACTAGGGAATGTGAACTTCAAAAAGACGCTTCAGTTTGTGGTCTTTCTCTTTTTGTAGATCAACCGAGTTCGAAACTGCACAGAGGATATAGTAAGATTATTTCGATTAATTCCACTTAAAAGATGCTAGTTTGGATAAAACCAAGCCATTAGTTATGAAGGCAACCCAATTAAGCCAGTTTAACATCCCTTATCTCAGCTGCTATAGTAATTGAGGAAGATGAATAAATTGGAGACCCGGCCATCATTCCTTGTTATTTCAAGTACCAGTAAAATATCAATCGCATTGAAAAATACTAGCTACAGTTTTATCACTGACAAAATGGCTCAATAAAAGGACTTTTGAGATCCGATAGTAGAAAGGCTGTGATCAGAGCCATTTGCAGACGGCACATGCAGTCTGCAGAGAGAGTTGGGTCCTGGTGCTCTGCTGTACCTTGAAATGAGCCAGCTCCCCAGCTTAGCTTTGCTATGCTCTCTCGGCCTCAGTTTTTCCCATCTGCAGAGTGAGGACAATACCACCTGCTCTGCCTAGGAAATCAGCTGACTTGAACCGAGTTGTGGACTGACTTTCTAAACTTGACATTACAAAATCATGAGTGTCTGAGGCACACTATGAAATGCCATCTGATGACCATCCTGGTGGTGGTCTGAGCATCTTTCTGGGGAAGCAGTTTGGCCACAGAGTCCTCCACTCAGAGGAAGGCTCTGAATCAGAAAATTAGCCAGAAAAATGCCACCTTGGACATCAGCATCAATTCATAGAGCTTGCCTGTCCGAATGACGAGATTTAAACCAATGTTCACTTAGCTGACCGCAGGTCATTTCCACACTGACCAGCCAAATCAACCATCTTAAACATAATATTTTCAGACACTCACTTTAAAAAGAAACTAATTTGAGCATTAAAATACTGTCTGCAACACCCATCCATGCCAGCTCAATTCCCCCTGCCGAAGTGTCTCTTAGCTGGTCTTCCTTTGTATTATCCAGTCCCCAGTTCAGGTAATAGCATCACCAGCTTCACAGTCCCCAGGCTACAATCCCATCCCCTACCTACCCTAACATTCCAATCCAATTCTCGCTGTCTCTTCAGCCTCCTGCATCCAGCCTCTGCTTCTGCTTCTAACTGCCCTCACCTCGGCCCTCAATGTCGGTCCCCTTTATAGCACTAGCATCCCAGCTGGTCTTCCCATGTCCTCTCTCCTCACTCGAGTCCATTCCCGCTCATGCCTCCAGCATCCTCTGCTTTTATCAAAGCCATTCTCCTGCTCAGAAGTCTTTGAACTTCTTCCCATGAAATAGCCACACTATTTTCTCCCCCTAGAATGGCCTTTTTTGTCTCTCCAAAAAGTATTCTCATTTCGAGCA